AGGGAGGAAGGCAGAGTGGGAGGGGAATGGGTGAAGAAAGAGGAGCTAAGAGCATGGACCCACTCCCCACATAAGTGCAACCATTGTGGGCTGCGGTCATTACTAACACAGCATTTTTCAATGTTCAAGAAAAGCACCTATTTTTTGGTTCCAGGGATCAAACTCATGACCTTGTGCTTACCAGGCAGGCACTTGTACCACTGAGCTAAACCCACGGCCCTATAAATTTTTTTAAAATAAGAGTAAAGGACTTAAACTATCTATTTTTCTTTGCATTTTCAATCAATCACCTATCATGCTAGAAATTTTTTCTTAAAATGCGGTGTTGGAATGACAGGGACCCTGTGCTTCTCACTGTTGCTGGAGGGACAAGGTTCAAGGCCAGCTTCCCAGCAGCACGTCTGGCCACATACATGAGGGTAACAAAACTTTGTTTTGTGAACATCTGGATTACAAGAAAAACAAAAGCTTGTCACTGCGCACAGCCTGTCCCCTCTTTTCTTTCTCTTTTTTTTTTTTTGAGGGGGGGAGTTCTGGGGATTGAACTCATGACATTGCACTCACCAAGCAGACACTTATGTCACTGGGCTGAACCCCAGCACTCTCTATCCTCCTTTCCAGCCCCTTGTCCTGCACTCACAAGCAGCCACTTGTGCAAGATTGGGCCAGTCTTATCCAAATAAGCAGACTGTTTAACCTTATCTGAGTGTCATCTGACTCTCAAAACACCCCAGAGAGAAGCAGGACTACTTTGGTCTCTGCTCCTGTCTGAGAATCTGGGCAGAGCTCTCCAGGGTCAAATTCCTCATCTGAGGTCACCAATAAATTATGGCAGAGAAGCAACCAAAAGCCACTCACTTTAGAGCAATAAATTTCAAAATGTCTTGTTTTTTTGAGTCAGGACCTCAGAATGTACTCTAGTCTAATCTAGAAATTGCCCTGTCACACAGGCTGTCCCTGAGCTTGTGTTCACCTGTCTCAGCCTGCTGTGTGCTAGAATGACAGCTATGCATTTCACACTGGTTGAAAACATACTTCTTTAAACAAAATATGCAAGATCTGTGATCTAAGATACTGAACATACCTAGATGACTGCCTGTGAGTAACCATAAAACCAGAGATTAAAAAGTGTCAGGGGGGGCTGGGGATTTAGTTCAGTGGCATAAGCACCTGCCTTGCAAGCAGGCAGTTGTGAGTTCGATCCCTGGTACCAATAAAAAGGAAAAAGGCAAAAAAAAAAAAAAAAAAAAAAAAAAAAGTGTCAGTGAAGACCAAGGAAAAGGGATCCTCACACTTTGTTGCTGGGAATATAAAACTGCAGAGTCACTTTGGAAACCACACTGGCAGATCCTCAATATAAACACAGTCATGCCACAGCCCCAAAATTCTACCTTAGGTTTATATCCAAACTGAAGACATATTTTCTACACAAAACCTGAATATGAATTTGAGCCTATTATCAGCAGCATTACTGACAACAGCCCCAAAGTGGAAACAACCCAAACAAATCTTCAGCAATTCATAAAATGTTTCATTAAAAATGCTATACTACCATGAGTAGGCGTGCAGTGTTACTAGGTGTCATAGCGCGAGCCTAGAGTCCCAGCCATTTGGGAAGCTGAGGAAGGGGCTGACCTAAGGCAGGACTCCATCTCAAAATAAAAGTTAAACAGGGCTGTTATGGATTTAAAATGAGTGGTCAGCTTAACACCAGCTGAATTAAATAAGCGTGGTGCTGAGTGCAGATGGTTACCTGAGAAAAAAAGAGCACAGCACTGTGAGCTCTCCTGTGCTGCAGTTGGGAGCAATTGTTCTCCTGGAGGAGCCTGTCATGCAGGCTTCCCCATATGAATCCAGCCACAGTCAGCAGGGGAGCTTGGGACCTTGTCACTGAGAGTGGCTGCGGTTCAGTTTGGGGGAGCTCTGGACCCTACACTGTGCATCACTGCCTGGGTCCAGAGGGGAAGATGTGTGTTTAATCTCCAGGAGAGCTGGCTTTCTGATATGAACTCAACTGTTCTCATCATCAGAGGACCTAAGGACCTCATTGTCACTGAGGAGGACTGGGGTGCTTCTGGGGGAGCCCTGGTCCTTGTTTTAAGCATTGCTTCTTAACTCACATGTAGAACCCTCAGCTTACTGGCACAGATCCTTCACAGCACTGGCATAGTTTCTGGCTTCCACTGCTGACCTTGGGAGCTTCCTGGTGTAGATCCATGAAACAGACTTCCATGAGACACTGTCATGGGCTCTAGGTCTTCAGCTGGACACATTCAGGATACTGCCATGGGATTCCAGGCCTTGGCTCGATTTTCTAGGTCTTTAGTGTTTTGGACAGATTCCTGGCCCTTTCTTGTATTTAATTCTGGGTGACCATCATGAAATAATATAAATTCTGTGTCCTGTATGTAATCGTTCTCCTTGCAATCCCTGACTACAAGGGCTGGGGGCCAGGTTGGTGATACATGCTTGTAATCCCAGTAATGAGGGAGGACAAAGCAAGAAGACCACAAGTTCCAGGCCTACCACAGATATTTAGCAAGGCCATGTCTCAAAATATAAAAGGGAAAAATATTGGGATACTATTTAATAGTCGAGTGTCCTTAGATTAAGTCCCCAGTATTGTCAAAAATATTTTTGGAGCCAGTTGTGGTGGCACATGCCAGTAATACCAGCATACAGGCTGAGGCAGGAAGATCATTGCAAGTTTGAGACCACCTTGGACTACAAAGTGAACTCAAGGCCAGCCTGATCTGCAGAGTGAGACCCTTTCTCAAAAAGAAAAAACAATTTTTTTTCTGAAGAAGGAATGTAGTACTCACTCATGCCCTGAGACACATGAATCTTGAGAAGAGTTTACCATTGAAGAAGCCAGACACAAAAGACCTACTCTATGAGCAATTGATATGAAATGTTTAGTGATCAAATCCATAGAGACACAAAGTAAAATAACAGCTTCTAAGAGGTGGAGGTTAGGAGGGGCTGGCATATCTTCCAGTGTAAAGAAAATGCTTTGCAATGCTCAAGGTCATGATGTACAGTTCAGTAACCATATTTAAAAAATGGTCAAAATTATACTATAAATCTACTGTGATAACAGAGCATGGTATTGACTAAAAACAGACCTGAAGATTAATGGAACAGATTAGAAGAAACCAAAACAGAGAGACTAAGCCAACTTATCATTTAGAAATGGACCAAACTCATTCACTGGAAGAAAGACAGCCTCTTTAATAAAATAAAAGGTGCTGGAAAAACTGGCTCAGCACATGCTGAAGATTAAAAATGGACCCATGTCTTTCACTGTGCACTAAGCTAAAACCAGAGTAGATCAAAGATCTTAATATTAAAACAGAAACATTAAATCTGCTGGTAGACAAAGTAAGTAAAAGCCTTAAACACAGTGGTGCGGGTAGACTTTATGAACAAAACAACAATTGCACAGGAACTACCAAAAAGAATCAACTGGGATCTCATTCTATTACAAAGTTTTTGCACAGCAGGAGAAACCACCAACAGAGTGAAGAGATTTTCTCCCATGATATGGGAGAAAATGCTTGCCAGGTATAGCTCAGACAAAGGATGACCACTGAGAACATAGAACAAAAAAAAAAAAAAAAATCCATCCTCCTATATGTAAAGACCCAATCCAAGAATAGGGATCTGAGATGAATACACTTCTCAGGTGAAGAAATAGAAACAACAAATAAATATATATATGATGAAATGTTCAACATCATGAGTCATTTCAGACATATAAATTAAAAAAACACTGTGATTCCACCTCACCCCAGAAATAATGGCTATTATCAAGAAATCAAGCAATGACAAATGCTGGAGGGGTGGTGGGGAAAAAGGAACCCTTCTCCACTGTTGGTGGGAATGCAGACTGGCACAACCACTGTGAAAATCAGTGTGGAGAATCCTCAAAAAATTAGGACTACAGGTACCACTGGACCCAGCTATTCCCCTTCTGAGTATCTTTCCAAAAGAATTAAAAACATCATATCACATTGATATATGTGCACCCATGTTTACAGCAGCACAATTTGTAATAGCTAGAACTTGGACACAATCTAAATGCTCACTGACTGAGGAATGGATAAAAAAAGTTGTGGTGCTTTTACACACTGAGTACTACTCAGACATAAAGAAGAATAAACTGGAGCTTTTTAAAGGTAAATGGATGTAATTTGAGGCCACACTCCTAAGTAAAATAAATTAAGACTCATATGTAAACACTGCATACACTGTATTGTCTCACTACTGTGAGCTGAAAAAAACAACATCTATGTGTGTGTGTGTGTGTGTGTGTGTGTGTGTGTGTGTAGTTAAGATACTTACAGTACTGATTTCTCTGAGCGCATTAAAGAGAAAGATCTGTGCTGGCATTGTTTGGACAATTGAATGTAGATATCTTGTGCTCTAGGTTAATGAATTGGGGATCACAACGCACAATATATGTCCATTGTTCCCCTGATTGATGCATTTTGAATTTTTTTCTCTTTAAAATAAAATGGATTAAAAATAAAATAAATTGAATTTTTAAAAAAGTAACCAGTGTGTATTTTCGAATGGAAAATGTTGAACATGTTATGCTGTATGAATTATTTCCCATCCCCAAAATTATTTCACTCCAGAAATAAAAAGCCATTCAGACAGAGGCCCTAGACCCATGCTTATGCTTTATCAGAACCTCAACATCTCTGAAACTCCCCCAGCCTGTATTCATGGTGGACAACTGAATCCTCCCCTTACTCAATCATGGCCTTGCAGTGAAGGAAGGTTCCTAACCCAACTCCAGTCCCTAGTGCAGAGCATGCAACATTTCAAGCTGCTGTACTGCTAATTTCCAGGGATGATGATCCAGTAGAGAGGCCTGGATAAATTTCTGGCCAGGTGCATGCTGAGCTGCTAGCAGCAAGGCTCACACAAGTGGGACACACAGGTCAGACCCATGCCGGTACAGAGCTGCTACAGGACGGCAGCTGGCAACTCACCTCTCCCCACCTCTGGCTTCTCTTTTATGGATGGAAAACCTGGTGTTCACAAGTGGACTATGCAACCTGGAAAACAGGAAATACAAGCCTTTATCTGATGAATGCAAACCATCCTGCTCTTCATTCACAAACATGCAATTCATTCACTCAGCATCTGGTAGGACAGTACAGAAAACACTAATTTCCTATATTTTTGGAGTTCACACTATGGTTAGGGAGATAAACTATAAACAAGATGATATAATATTGTGTTCAGTTTTACAAATGAAATAAAAGGTGGCGTAACAGTGAGAGACAAGATGCCACGGCATAAGTGTCTGCCTGGCAAGTACAAGGCTGTGAGTTCAATTCCCAGTACCCAAAAATAAATAAATAAATAAAGTATGAGAGACAGAGGCTGGAAGAGGCAGAGAATATTTTTATTAAGGGCTGTCAGGCTTTTTCAAGGCAACACAACAGAAATGATTAGAGATAGGGATCAAGCTAGAGAGAACAGCATTTCCTACAGTAGAGGGAGCTATGATCCCAGGCAACTGACATGGAAATGCATACTCTCCTGAGAGCAGGGTCCCTAGATACAATGAGCACACAGCAGTGGCCATGGACGTGCCAAAGGCAGCAGGTGGCAACACTGAGGACCCTGTGCTCAACTGAACCGAACAAACCAGGGACAAATGGAGGTGTAGGTGTGCAGAAGAGGGAGTAAGAGGAAGATTTCAGGCAGGAATCCCAGGGTGGCCTGTCACAGCAGTTAACTAGGACATCTGCTGTGCTGCCCTTTCTGGTGGCTGCTGCTGCCCTCACCAACAAGGCTGAAATCTTCATCAAGTGCACTGCCCCTGAATTCACCACAGCTCAACACACTGAGAGCTATACTTTCTGTCTGTGGAATAGCATTTTCAAAGCACTCCCCTTTATTACCATGGTGTCTGCTGTATCCTCAATATGCTTTTACTAAAATGTTTAATGAAACCCAAAACAATTAAATATCATTCTATCTTGAAATTTGGAAGAAGCAACACAGGTTCGTTCAGCCTGTCTGAACCCCCCCCCCCACACACACACACACAAACTTACAGCTGAAGCCTTAAAGGCCTATCTTCAGGCTTCCATTAGTGACTCTACCCAAGTTGTACATTTCTGTGTCTGCCTTTGACTGAGTTGTCAGAATCCAATTCCTCAGTCTTTGCAAACAGCACTCCAAGTCAGTCTGCCATTGGTGATCCAGACCTGAGGAAAGCAAGCAGAAGGACTTTGGAGATGCCTCTCACCTCTAATGCTGTTGGCAATTTCCAGGTGCTCCCGCTATTTCAGAACAAGCATGCAAAGAGCTTTACTCTGCAGGAGACAAACCACATGAACACAGGACGCGACTCCCCCTAATCTTCAGGGGCAATGACCTTCCTGGGAGACAGATGAGTGGGGCAGGGTTGGAAGAAGGACTACCAACAGCACTGAGCTCAGCCTGTATCATAGCACAATGGGTTCTTCAAGAAACCAGGGATCTCATCTTTTGACAAGCTCTGCACTCACCTAAACCACATTATGTGCTGTGGTACATCCACATTGTATTTGTTGTATATATTTGTACTGTCTCCTTTTAATTTATTTGTTTATCCAGCACTAAGGATCAATCCCAGAGTCTAGTGCCTGCTAGGCAATCATTCTACAATTGACCTATACCCTGAGTCCTGTATTTATATTGTCACTGAATGAAGAATTGAAAAGGGATAAATAAAAGGACTGTTTCACCAAATGTAATGTGTGAGATTTCTTTATATCTTGATTCAAGCAAAATCAACAAGGAAGATATCATAATGAAACTCAAATGCCAAATGTCAGTTTTTCACATGTAGTACTTGTTTCATTGATTTTTCAGAATGACCTTTTTCTCTATAGACACAAGTTGATTGTCATCATGCAGGCCCAAGGTGGTGATGCTGGCTAGGAGTAACTGCTAATGCTTCTCCCAGGCAGGGGTAGACACACAAACACACAGGAATAGCCAGCAGAGGCAGCTGGAGCTCCAGTAACATGGGGACTGGAGACCCAGAAAGCCTTGGCGCAGACCTGGGCCTGCCACTGCTACTGAAGACAGAAACACAGGACTTGGGCAAGCCACTTGGCCCACTAAACCTGTTTTTTTTTTCTATGAAAAACGAGTAGCATCCCTCCAGTGGGAGCTCACACGATGCCACACAGACCCTTTAAAGTCCTGGAACATAGAAAGTGGTCAAGCACCAATAGTGAAGGTGGTGACCCAGAGCTGAGGAGGCAAAGCAGAAGGGCCCATAGCTCAGAGCCACTGCAGGCACAGCACTGCTGCTCTTCATGGAGCCCAGCTCTGGCCTGGATGGGAGCAGAATTGACCCTGCTGGAGGGTCAGAAATCTGTGACTGGGGCAGAATACTAGGAATGCTTATTAATAATAATAGTATGGGGGACCTAAACAAAGACGCTTATGGAACTTCCATCAGAAATTGGCAAACTCTTTCTATGAATGATCAGACAGATTTAGCCAGCTTTCCGAACGACCAGATGTGTCCCTCACTTGAACTCTGCCACTGAAACATGAAAGCAAATGTGAGCCAGCGGTAAAAACCTAGGATTCTAATAAAGCCGTATTTCAAAAACCAGGCGGCAGGTTTGATTTGACCCATTCATGCAATAACACTGGGCAAAAAAGTGACTGTGAAAATAAGGATTAAGCTAATAGAAGACAAGAAAGAAAAAGATAACAGAGCAGAGTGTATCAATAGTTACACGATAGGCTTAAGTCAAACTTGAATCTAAAAGCACATTAAAACCATATTACTAGGGGCTGGGGATTTAGCTCAGCGGCATAAGCACTGCCTTGCAAGCAGGCAGCCGTGAGTTCGATCCCCGATACCGGTAAAAAGACAAAAAAAAAAAAATATTACTAATTGAAAAGCAGAGATTATCACAATGGATCAAAAAAAAATCCCTGCAATATCAACTATTCTGCAACATGAAATACTTTATGTATAACTTTTACCTTAAACCCTTTATTTGAAACGGTTTTAGTGTTAGGCAATGCTACAATGAGCTTCTAACAGTACCTGTGACCACAAATAAAACACAAAGAACTCAAAGTAAGACACTGATATTTGCACAGTATTACTACATAAAAGAATTCATGAGGGTTTCATCCGTTCGCCCATTAATGACCTTTTCCTATTCCAGAGCCAACCTGGGACCCCACATATCTTTACTTGTGAGGTTCCCTAAACCACCCCCAAGCGCTAACTCTTCTTTCCTCATCTTTGGATAGAGCATCTGTCGGTCTGTTTGCTTTCTTTAGAACTGTGATGGATGGGCCACAGGACCTCTGTGACCTAAAGAAAGAGCACTGGGTGATAATGCTCAAGTGTGCAGCCAGAGAGCAGGGGTCGCGCGGCTCTGGAGTTACCTTCTCCATGTCGCTCGGGATGAGTTCCTCGGAGGAAGCCTGGAGGGCATCGGCTCGCGGAAAAGTCCACCGCAGCGTAACACGCTTGTGTCAGCACCATCTCGAAAGAAAAGAACGCAAAGCCACCTAGAAATCTTTTTTGTGCACACAGCAAATATACTTGTTCAGTCTTTCTTTGTCGGTCTTCCACGTGGCCCTTGCCTGCACCATCTGATGATGTCACTGTCTGCGCCGTCGCGACGCAACAGCTCCAGTGCGCCTGCGCAGCGTCATTATTCTGGGGGTCTTAGGGGGCGGGACCACTGCTGCTGTCTTCCCAGATTTAGACTCTGGGTGGCGCCAGCCTCCCACACATCTCTTGTTGAGACCCCAAACTTAAGTGAATAGGAAAAATGTGGCACAGATACACAGTTCCAGATGTGGCTCTGGTGGCACAAGTCTGGGATCCCAGCCATTGCGGGGGCTGTGAAGCAGGAACAGAGTATGCTTGAGGCTGGCCTGGACTATATAATGAGACACTCTGAAAACACAAACAAACAACCAGCACATACACAAACCTGAACAAAAACATGCTGCAGTGGAGGCAGGTGTGGGGCGTGGGAGAGCGCCAGGGGTTCAGCACTTGCATAGCATAAGCAAGGCTTTGCTTTTCATCTTCAGTGCTACAAAAACACAAACAAAATAACTAGCAAAAGGCAATGAGATTTATCACAGTGGACTGCAAATCTGTCTCTATATTGTGTACTTTGTCATTTCTAACTTGAGTGCTTCTGAGGAGGCCCCAGAGTGTGTGTACATCAGAAGAATGAAGTGTGGTAAACTCTCCCCTCTCCCTGAGTTTTTGCATGATGTACATGCAGCTGAATAAGCCTGGACATTTAGCACAGAGAATGACTCCTCTTAATTCCTAACGCTTGGATTTACTTGAATCCATGTTTGTTTCAAGGTGCAATGTATGGAAAGTAATTAAGTTAAATTCATTTGTAAAGCTAAAAGCACTTTTGTTTGCAAAAAAAATTTACTTAATAGGCTTTTCTCTTTTTCTAAACACTCAGTATTTTCTTAGCAGCCAGGTTATCCTGTGTGAGCTACTGGCAGCCTTTTCAGCACCAGCCCACACAAGGCACACAACCATGTTCTCATGCTGCCCACACAGAGGGGTCAAACACCTGGATTTCAATTTTAGGATAGAGGGAAGCACAAAGAGAAAATACCACAAGTTTGCAGAGCACAACATTAGGCTACACAAGTGAATTAAGGGTGATACATAGTGGTTTCATATTTTCACAGACAATACCAAATGTTAGAAGAGAAATGACGAAAGCAATCAAAATTCAGTAGTTTTTCTGGAAAACTGATTTTCAATTTAAGATCCACACTTACCTAAATTGTCTACCCAACTGAACAAAAGGCACTTTCCTGCACAAAATGGTTTTGTGATTCCCTGTCTTGTGTGTTTCATATCTCAGGAAACACTGAAGTCTATGTTCTACTGAAGCTAAAAGTGCACCAGGGAGAAGAAGCACCACCAAGAGCAGGTCCAACACACAAAGAGGGCAAGAAAACCCAAGGACAATTCCTGCTTCCCAGTCATAGAGAACAAGCAGGTGAAATCTGAAAGATTCAAAAATTGTCTGTGAGTGTATTAAGTCAGAGTTAACTAGAGAAACAGATATAACACAAGATACAAAACAGTACAAGAAATTACAAGAATGGCTTACAATGATCAGCCACAACGTTGAATAAGGAAGCATGCAAAAGATGTCTGCACAGCAAAAGTTTAAGGGTCTAGCCCATGGGCTGGAGCTTACTGCTGTGTCCCATGCAAGTCTGTATCAGGAGGCTGATGCCTCTATGATGGAGCACAGAAGAATCAACGATGGAGGTGGAAGACTCTATGACAAGGCTGGGGAGTCCTAGGCTGAGCCAAACAGAAGCCGGGAGATGATGATGTCTGAGCTGAAAAATGAAGACTGGAACTCCTCCTAGAAGCAGCAACCAGTCTCCCCTCATTTGCCTATTTTATGTCTGCAGGATGTTATAAACTAGGGACCCTGACCCCTGCTGAATCACATAGTTATTAAGTTCCAAACTTTTCAAATGCTGAAACACTTGTGAAGCCTCTAGACTTCTCAAGTTGACATTGAGTATAAACCATAACAAGTGAGGAAGGTGGAGCGCCAGGTATCTGCAGTCACCCACAAATGTTATTGGATCATATGTTTCATCAGTGACCATCAGGGCCTTCAAAGGTGCTAATGATCAGCTGAGACCAAACACTGGGGCCATAAGTTATGACAACCCATATGACAAGAATGTCGATGCTGAAGTTGGATATTTTGTTTTCCTTGATCTTCACAGGCTATATATGACAATAAAATGCAAAGCTGGATTGCTTCCTTTTTTCTGAGAAGCACAGTCCCTGCTTCTTCTGAGAGAAGAATAAGTTAGGCATATCCTTGACTCCTGCAGAGCACCAAGTGTCCAGTGTGTGTACATAGAATGGATGTCAAAGTATCAAGTCTGCAGAAACTGGAAACAGTCACTGTGAGGACTTAGCTCAACTGTCACCTGCCAGTGAAGGCCTCCTTGGCTAGGACACCTTTAATGACAGCCACTCCCACCCCAGTTCTCCCTCAGCCTGGCCCACCTCAGTGCACTCATGGATCCAGTTCCTGTCTGCAGCTGTCAGTTTCTGCTGTGGCTCCCATCTCTCCTAGAGAAAACATCCTCAACCCGGCCCCAAACCCTGTGAGATCTGGCTGGGGCCCTTGCCACCCCAGTCTTCCCATGAATCCCACCCTGAGCACAGTGCTGAGGGCTCCACTTCCCCTGCTGTTTCACCTCTGGCCACAAACTGACCTGTCCTCTTCCCAGAACACATAGGGAGAGGCTGGCAATTACACATGGGGACACTGAGGATACACAGTACATTTTTGCTTCTGCAAAAATGAGTGCTATCCCAAAGGAGAGAGCGAACAAGGTCTCTCCAGGTGCCCAGCACACAGGCTACAGCTACAGCTAAACAACCACAGGGGCACAGAACCTCCCCGGTATCCCCCACTGTGCATGTGGGTCCAAGTCAGGACCTCCTCACTACCTACTGGGTAGATTCCCACTCACTTACTAATTCATTCACTATCTATTTACCTCCTATTGGGGCTGGTTCCTAGCCAGTGACGACTCAGGGGCTAAAGTTCTTCACAAGTCACCTCATCTGTGCATTTCCCACAGCTTCCACCTGCAAAGAGGGCAAAATTAAATTACATGGGGGCCCTCAGTTGCTGGGTATGCTGGTGCCCACCTGGAATCCCAGCACTCGGGAGGCTGAGGTAGGGAGAGTTTAAGGCCAGCCTGGGCTGCATAGTGAGACCCTGCCTTAAAAAATAAAAGATAAAATAAAAAGGAACCTCTCAGTTTTTTTAATCATTACAGTACTAAACTTCATAGCCTAATAACAGAGAAAACACATTTTCAGGTACACAGAGCAAAATATTTATGAAAACCAACTACATACTAGTGTACAAAAAAAGTGTAATAAATTCCATGCTGTCAAGTTCACACAAACATATTGTTTGCACTGTGCTGTAAAACTATAAATTAACTTGAAAGATGAAATATCCTCTCAGCCTGGATATGCTACTCAAGTCTAAATGACTGCCATGTCAAAATACTAATATTATCAAAAAATGCAGAATATGCCTAAAAGTTGTAATAGTGTACATTGCAATCCCTAGTTAATCACACACACAAAATAATAGCAAATGATAAGGAAAAATTGTTGAAATATGTGAAACTTTGAAATGATGTTACTTTGGAAAACTTCATTCCATTAAATTTGAAATCCTAGAAGAAGTTGATAATAGACCAAAATGTCCCTGGGAGACAAAGGTCAAACAGCAGCATATTTCAGGAATACAAGAATGATTTATGAGAAGAAATCTATTGAAATTATCAATATGAAAAATCAAAACACAAAAGTCAATAGCATTATTGTACGCAAAAATGAATTCACTAGAAAATAAATTAAGAAAAAATACCATTGGCAGTAAATTCAAGAAAAATTTAACATGTATTTAATCTATGAAAGGAAGTAAAAGGCCTCTACAATCATAACCCCAATGCTATGAAAAAGAATCAAAGAGAACATCATAAAAAGGAAGGATATCCCCTGTTTTGGACAGGCAGAATGAATTTTGCTGAATTGGAAATATTACCGAAACTGATCTGTAGGTAATACAGTCGCAGACACACTGCATCTTCCACGGAACTAGTGAAACCATCTCACAAGTCAATCGAAACAGAAGAGACCTGGAGGAGTAAAAATAGTCCCAGACAGCAACTTCAAAGCAGGAGACAGCACAATCCAAGATTTCAAGTTACATTACAGAGCCACAGTGATTAAAAACAGCATGGAACTGGCACAAAACAGGACGCACCAAATCAGTGGGACCGAATGCAGGGAGCAGGGGTACCCCAGGCACATTCAGCCAGAAGCTTTGACCAAAAAGCTCAAAACCAGATTAACTCAGTGGAGGAAACAAGAGTAAATTCCATACAGTTGTGCCTTCTTCTGTATGAGTAACTAAGTCCAGGAATAAATACAATAAAATGGACAGAGGAAAGGAAACTACAAGGTAGTCTTCTAAAGAAGGAAAATTGGATGAAAGGAAGGTGAAAAGAATGGGGGGTCATTGAATTTAGGATGATAAAGATGTGTTAAATATATTTAAAAATTTTTCCCCAGAAGCTCATTATGACTTGTTACTAATGTGATGTCATACATACATTCCATACAATGCAGGGAAAAGGCATGAGTGAGGACAGGTTAGATTAGAATGTGTCCCCCAGATTCCTATTCTGGAGCTGATTTTCCAATGCAATAGTGTTAAGAGGAGAGGGCTTCCAGAGAAAGAGGTCTCATGGCTCCGATGAAGGTGTTCATGAAATAGTTTTGGGGAGTTGGTTTGCCTCCTTCCACTCCTTCTGCAGTGTTAACACACAGCCTTCCTCCTCCTACAGCACATAGCAAAAAGCCACCACCCAGGAAGTAGAGGACTGGGCCCCACCAAACTCAGAGCCTGCCAGGTCCTTGATTCTAGGGGTCTTCTGATTCTGACAAGTAAAACTCTGTTTTGTATAAATCGCCAAGCTCACACAGTTTGTTACAGTAGCACTACCATCTTTATTTGTATTTAATGCTTTATTAGAGGTTCCTGCTAGTATCATATGGCTACAAACATAAGAATTG